CATACATATCATACCCATTTGACATGGAAGTGTCAAGCCATGTGATGAGTAAATTCAATAGAAAATTAAAGGTGAAGCTAGTTCTAAAGGTATTCTGATGACAAGACATAGAGGCTTGGTTGCTGCTAATTCTTAAGATCTACATTCTTCTATTTCATTGCACTTCTTATAATTCATGGATGCAGTTCCTTTTTGGTAGTGAGGGGTGGGTTGGTTTGGTTTTATTGATATATACTCATTTATGTTTGATCAATTTCAATTTTGTGGGACGACAATAGCATTTATATCTAGAACTCAGCTTATGGCACATGGAACATGTCAACTCAAGATAAACCAGTAAGAGTTCAGGTTATTATGTACACAGTTCGTAACAACAGAAAAAATGGTGTTTGATGACTAAATGCTATTTTCCCATTATACTATGTTGACAAGAGTGGGTTGCTCTAGTGGTGAGCACCCTCCACTTTCAGAAAAAATGGTGTTGGATGACTAAAATCTACTGCCACTTTGAGAATGCAAAACTATTTAAGATATTATTTATGTGGAAATGCAAAAGTGTCTTTTAACTTATAACACAACGTCCATGTAACTAAATAGTTCATCTTGTTGGAATTTTTGTTCTTTGTTGGATTTTGATCTTTTATTTTTTCCTCTTGAAAACAGGGACAAGGTTCTTGAACAATCACAAATGGCGATGATCAAGGAGTTTGAAGACATTTAATGTTTAGTTTTTTCTTTTATTTTTTTCTTGTGGTCAAAAGGCATCGACCAAAGAGTAGTTTAAAGTGTCATTTAATGTATTGTTTTTCCTTTGTCACGTGTAAATGCATACAATGGCAATAAACAAGAAAGTATTGGGCAGTGTATTAGCTAATTGACTATATAGTAATGAAAGTATTAAGAGTATTTGTGTTGAGAAATATTTTTGGTGTCTGTTGAATTTGATGCTTTTAGTATTTGTAGGCAATTGATAGAAATACACCTAAATAAATCTATAGCATTGGTTAGTTATTGAAAAATAGCTTTAGTGGCGACTATACCTTGTTGCTAGACATAATTAGTATTTGTGGCAACGAGAAGCGCCACAAAAAGTCCTTAGCTACCGGTGGCGATTGGAATCGCTGCAATAGATACTATTTGTGGCGACTGCACTCGCTACTAAAGTCTTTCTTTAGTGGCGACCTTCCTAGAAACACAGATTGAGGAGCCATTTTATTAGCGATATTGTTTACTTTTAGGGGCGAGCATAGTCGCCGCAATATCTTGTTTTCAGTGGCGACTTCATTATGTCGCTACAGATAACATTTAGTAATGGATTTAAGTGGAGCGATCCGAAGGTCGCCTCTAAAGGCAATTAGTGGCGACTTTATAGTCTTTAGTAGCGACTTTAGTCGCCACTAAAAATAATATTTCTTGTACTGTACCAAAGTTGAAGTCCAAAACCATGAACACCTAGATCATGTTATAGGCTTGTGTTCAACTCATCTTCAGAAGCGAGGAGGAGAATAAACTTCATGAGGTATCTCAAGAGCGTCAGAATGAAATGATACTAGAACACAAAATCAAGAGTCTTACTTTTGTAAGTTTTCTAATAAAAATGTAGCTAGAAAAATAAAATAACAAGTCTTTAATATTTAAGATTAGATTAGATCTTCAACATAGATATGCATAGATGGAGAGTGAGTACCATTACTTTATGCTGGTCTAGATCGGACTCAGCATAACCAATACTAGCAATAACCTATGCCTGAAAACCGTCAATAACACTAGGCCTCAAATCTTTTCTTCTTCTTTCACATATTTCATTTTAATAGTAAAAGGTACAAGAGGAGATGGTAAATGAAGGAACAAACTCTTCCTATGAACTAAAAACTGTATGCAAAGAGGCAAAAATGGGTCTTGTGCACCTATTAGATGTTGGAGTCCTATTTCATTTATTCAGTAGCATTATCTCTCAGTCAATTAAGCTAGATCCAATTGTAAAAATCCCACGTATAGTGCAAAGCATAGAAAGAAGTTACAAACAAATTATAGCAAAATTCGGATCGAGGTTTGAATAACATATAGCATAGAGTAACTATGCGGCAACGGTAATTACTCATTTACCAAACAGAAAGTTGAATTTATATCCTCCATGTTGTACCACACACCAGAGTTTATGGCCATCAATCAAGGCTCTCAAACAAAGACGGCTCCATAAAATTAGTATACTAAAGTCAAATTTTAATAAAAGACCTTATTTTTTTATTAGTACGTATATACACATATATGCAAAAAAATTAATCGTGTCATTTTTTTCATACTTGTTTTTTTATAGTATATATACATAAATGACATAAAATCTTTAACTTCACAAAGTAATATTATTATTTATATTAGAAAAAGATAATTTAAATAAATGAGATGTTAGATATGTATTTGCAATATGTTACCTTTGATATTGTTGTAAAAAATGGATTTACTAATATGAAGATTTAAGTAGTGTAATTCAAACTTTTGAACATATTTTTACTGTTAAAGAGTAGCTAGATACCTGTTTACCTTGAAAATGGTAATTACAATTAGAATTAATTTGATCTATTTTTATGCTAGTTGTTAGGCAATTGATGCTAAGTGAAAGACTTGGAAACAAGATAAGAGCTTGAAAACAAGGTGATAACCAAACCGAATGGCTGATAATCGGGGCCTCAGCTTGCTTATTCAGGGCCTCGAGGTCGAGTCGGATGTCCTGTCGAGGGTAGTCGATGGATGACTAACAGTTATGATAAAATTAATGATGGCTCTTTATGGCCAATAATAAGCAATAAATGAAGAGCAATAAATAGAACACAATGAATATGAGCAATAAATGAAAGCAATAAGATCAAGAGAATATGTTAGAAAACAGAGAGAATGTTCTTATCTATTCAATATTGAGCATCAGATCTTTTACAAAATGACAAGGATCCCCTTTATATATGGAGGGAATCCAAACATAGTACAAACATATTTATTACAAAGATATGGGGCTGGTACAACCATTTATGCCATGATGCGGGCCTAGACTAGCCTAATAGGCTTTGTCAGCTTTGGTCATGTGCCTTGGGAGCATTACATCGATCCAGCGAAGCCACTGGTTTGCACTGCATCGAGGCTAGTCTCTGTGAGCCCTCGAAGTCGATCATTGGGAGACCTTGAGACGCCTTGATGATCGTAAAATCGAACCGCTGATTTTTGCCGCATACAGATAGTCCCCGCATTTCCTAGAACAAAGTGATAGGAAACGGTTTCGAACTCCTACTCCTTAGGCATTATCATAATGATGCCAGTCCTATCAAAGCATTAAATGCCATAACTCAAAAGCCATGCAAGGGTCGTCGTCAACACGACTATCAAGAAGCCCATGAACCGTTATTGGTTCGGCTTTTCTGCTGCCCATACGGCTTCTATAAATACCCCAATTGCTTAGTGACTCGCACTTTTGTGATTCCTTCAAGCTTTCAGATCCAAATCCATCTTCCTCTTCGTCCCTCTTTCTTTTGTCCTTGGTTTTCTGCCTTCGTTCTCGAGAAAAAGAAAACTTTTAGTTGTCATGGCCTAAACCTCTAAGACAGTGCCTCGGAAAGACAAAGCTGCTTCTTCATCTCGAACATCCAAGAATAAATCCAAGGGTAAGCCCAAAGTGGCTCCTACCATCGAACAATGTACACCCATCGAGTTCGATAGTATGAATGATTTTTCCATCGATAGACCTTCATTTACGTCGGGTCGATGCCAACACGTGTCCCGGTTCATTAGCGTTGTGAAGGATATATACAAAGTGCGGGCGGACTGCCAATGGGGGAAGAAGGTGCTAGTTGAGATCTCTAGCCCTAACGAGAGCATAACGGACCATAAGGCCAATTTTCTTTATGTATACACATACCCGTTCACCTTGGGCCCTGTTGACTCCTCGAACCCTTCTTCTCTGGATTAGGGTTGTTTAAAACCGATCCGAAACCGAAAACCGAACCGAACCAAAGCTTAATGGCTTACTGGTAATGGCTTAACAGCTTAACGGACGGGGAACAGATTAAATTTTTTTTATTAACGGCTTATCGGTTTGGGGGCGGATTATTCAATTTTCTTAACGGATATTTCGTTAACCCATTAAGAATATAAATATATATATAAAATTTATTTTTATTTATATATATTAAATATAAAAAAAATCTTGAACTTGAATAATCAAAAACAACCCCATCTTTGTTCTGTCTCTATAGTCTATAGTCTATCTATTCTCTAAGACTAAAACTAACGCACTCCTAATTTCTAAATAATCAAAAGACAAAATCATAGAAACCCAACCCTAACGCCTAAACCAGCAGCCACCGGCCACCGGCCACCAGTCCTCGTCGTCGTCGACTTCCACCAGCCACCAGTCTCCCTCTCTCTGTCTCGCCTCTCCCTCTCGTGGCTTCTTATCTTCTTATCTAGGTACTCTTACTTATGATTCCCATCAAAATCAACATTATCAGGAGTTTGCTAGTCATTTTTTTCTTTTCAATTTATAGTTTTTTCTCACTATTTATTGTTGAATTTGCCGATTTTGTTAAACGGATATGTTTACAGTAAGAAGAAGACAATAGCAAATTGTGAGATTTTCCAAGTTTTAATTTTCTGCTTCTGAAATGAATTCACAGGAGCTGCTTCTTTGGTTTTTAGAACAATTTATAGTAAGAAATTTTATCTAGTGGTTTAGTAAGGGTTGACGAGATTCAGCTAGATTGTCATAAAAATGCCATTTTCTAACATCATGAATAAGTTTTTTGGTTTTTGTTGGGACTTTAAAGAGGAGTATTTCTCACAAATTTCAACTACAGTAGAGGTGCAATCTGAGGCAACTCAAGTAGTTGAAGAAGTTGTTACTGATTTTGATAATTTTAGTTGTTGATTTTGACAAAAGTAGTCTGCTTAGAATGGGACAGCTTAATATATGACTGATTAGCTATACTTTTGTATACAAATGAAGCGCTAGTATTGTTTACAACTTGATGTTTTTATTCTCATTCCTTTTCTTTTCTTGTTGCAGTGACTCATACATGGCTGAAAATATACAAAGTGATAAGGTAATGATGGGTGAAAGTGGGGCTTCTAATTCAAATGCAACAAGTCAAGCTCAAACAACGGAGTCAAATATAACCAAAAAAGGAGAAAAAGGTCTGTTGTGTGGGATCATTTTACAGAAATTATTACTTCTGAAGGGAGTACAAAAGCAAAATGTGACTATTGCTTTATTGAGTATGTATTTAAGACCAAAGACGGTACATTGACACTTCTTTCTCATATGCTTAAGTGTCCTAAACGCCCTGCTATTGTTGATAAAAAACAATCAAATTTAGGCTTTTAATCTGCTTCGGGGGGTAGTCAGGGTGACGTAGCTGTTGTTACTTGGAAATTTGAACAAGAAGAATGTAGGAAAGCATTATGTCATATGGTAATAGTTGATGAGCTTCCTTTTAGCTTTGTTGAGAAAGAAGGTTTTAGAGACTTTATGAAAGTGGCACAACCTTATTTTTGGATCCCTTCCTGTAGTACTGTAACTAGGGATTGTTTTGATCTTTTTAATGAAGAAACGCAAAAGTTGAAGAGGTTTTTTATAGAAACAAAACAAAGAGTATGTATTACCACTGATACCTGGACATCTATACAAAGAATCAATTACATGTGTATCATTGCCCATTGGATTGATAGTGAATAGAATATGCATAAGAGAATAATTAATTTTTGTCCTATTGTTAGTCATAAAGGCGAAGATATGGCAAATGGTATTGGTAGGTGCTTATGTGAGTGGGGGATAAACAAGATCTTCACTGTCACAGTTGATAATGCAAGCTCAAATGATGTGACAGCAAAAGAATTATCTAAGCAATTAACAAAAATGGGAACTAATTTGATGAATGGTACTCACCTTCACATGAGATGTATGGCTCACATTATGAATCTTGTGGTCCAGGATGGTTTAAAAGAATCTTCAGTGCCTGTTGAACGTGTTAGGTATGTAGTGAGATATGTTAGGCAGTCTCCTACGCGGTTGAAGAGGTTTCAAGAATGTTTTGATGCTGAACAACTCAATTCTAAGAAAACTTTATGCTTAGATGTTCCAACAAGATAGAATTCCACCTACTTGATGTTGCGCAGAGCTATTGAATTTGAAAGTGCATTTTCACATAACGCTTCTAGTGAAATTGGCTTGAGACATTATCTTGAGCATTCTTATATTGATGTTGGAATTCCTACAGGTGAACTTTTGAGTAGTGATTGGGATAATTTAAAAAGAATTACAAAGTTTCTTGAAATCTTCTATCTTCTTACTTTGAAGATATCTGGATCACGTTATGTTACATCGAATATTCATTTTCTTGAAATTTACACAGTTGTTGTCTATTTGAAGCAATTGATAGCAAATGAAGATATAGTTTTAAGTGAAATGGCAAAGAATATGAAAGAAAAGTTTGATAAGTATTGGGGTGATCCAGGGAAAATGAACAAGATAATTTTTATCTCATGTATTTTGGATCCACGTTACAAGATCGAATCAGTTGGCTTTGCATTGTAAAGATGTTTGGTGTAGATCCGGGGGCAACTATACAAGTAGAAGTAACGAAGTACATGACTTCATTATTTAGTGAGTATGTAAAGTCCAGCTCAAAAGGTGTTGTGCTTGCTTCATCTTCAGATTGTTCTTCATTGGACACTTCGACTTCCGGGCTTTCTGGCAGTCAAGCAAGCACCCAAACTATAGGACTTTTAGAATCACTCATGCAAGATATAAAAAAATATAAAAATGGGAGTGGAGGTGTTGATGCTAGAACAAAGTTAGATAAATATTTAGGTGAAGAAACTGAGGATGACACTAAAGAATTTGATGTTCTTCTTTGGTGGAAATTGAACTCAGCTAGATTTCCTATTCTTGCGGAGACGGCTCGTGATATATTAGCTGTTTCGGTTTCAAGTGTGGCATCCGAATGTGCATTTAGTTCGGGAGGACGTCTTCTTGATTCATTTAGGAGTTCATTAACTCCTAAATTGGTGCAAGCTCTAGTGTGTCTTCAAGATTGGCTTCGAAATGAAAAATTAAAACAACCCATTAGTGTTGAGGAAGATCTTGATAAAATTGAGCAGCTTGAACAAGGTAATATTATTGTTACTATATTTGTTGTATATAAGTATTGTTGATATGCTTATATTTATCGCATGACTCATTATTTTAATTTTCTTCCTTCAGATTTAGCCAGCAATGGAAAAGACCCTTCTATAATTGACGTGTAGTATTAATATATTTGGTAAGATTATTCATCATCTACTCTGCCTATTCCCTGTTTTATTTTGAATTCGAGGTGCATAAAAACAATTTTCTCTTTCAAACAATTTGAGGGCAGTGGTCAACAAAATGCCTGCAACTTATCTCCTGACATAAATTTATGTAAAAAATCTTGTGCTGAGAAAGAGAGGTAAGCATGTGTGGCGAATATGATCATGGAATTTGTAGTTCAGTATTACGCCCTTCACTGTGGTTCTGTGAATATACATCATGTAAATAAACAAAAAACTACAAACATGTATTGAGCTATGATTGCCAGCAAGTTATGGTCTGTGTTTAATCCAATCCCGAACAACCATTAATCATTCTTTATAAACTTTTTGAACTGTTGTGATATATTCCAGTTACGGTGAATGAAGTCGAAGCATTATATGAGTTGTTCGAGAAAATAAGTAGCTCTATAGTTGATGATGGGCTCGTTCACAAGATATTTCTCTACTGTTTGAGCAGCAGCTTTTGGTCTTGTTAAGCAACAGCTTTTGGTCTTGTTGAGCAGCAACTTTTGGTCTTGTTGAGCAGCAACTTAATGGCATCAGTCAGTTGGCTAAATGACTGTTGAACTTGTTTAATTCTTTCTGGTTTTGGTAGCAAGAAAGCAGACTAGTTCCTTCGTCATGCATGATTTACATTTTCGGCATATTAACTGATGCATTTTGGATTCTATCCCTCCTATTGTAAAACTTAATTTTCTATTTCACGTTAGGTACTTCAGTACGGCAGTACCTAGTTGAGGATAATTTCGATTTGTGAATATGTATGCTAGGCCGATAATCCGCTCGATAACCGCCCAATAAGAGCTAAAACGATACCAATCCGCCCGATATCTTATCGGGTGGCTAACGGATTAATATATTTAAAAGCCGATAACCGTTAAGCCAAACCGTTAAGAGTAAATAACCGCCCAATCCGCCCGATAAACAGCCCTACTCTGGATATAGACCGGTCATTCTCGATTTCTGTTGTAAATATCGGGTGACACTGGGCCAAATTTACCCCTCTTTATGGAGAATAGTTCACATGCTTCACTACTTTTCCAGCAAAGTCAAGGATACGACTTTTACCCCTGATCATCTGATCAGGTTGTACAGCCCCCATCTTTTTTTAGGCTTGATCAAGCTTTACCCTCGATCTTCGAAACCCTTTTTCTCGAGTATCGATGAGCACAAGGATCGGGGGTGGATGAGCCGGTTTATCCGGGTAAGGACCTCGGACATTATTCCGGCTAAATGGATTCCGTTCTTGGAGGAGTAGAACATGAAGCGTAAGTGCTTCTTCTTTGAGTATGCTTTATCGTCTTCTTACTTTCTTCCCAAGAAACTAACTTTCTCTTTTCTCACGCATCCGGCCTTTGGTACCCTGAATCTGTTCCAGACCTATTAGGGTCGATTAGGGGATTAGATACCTCGTTCCCCTATCTCGAGCGTTCTTGACCTGAGTTGGCTAAAACACGGTGGGTGACCAAGAATCATGGTAAGCTCCTTCTTGCCGCCTCCATCATGTTGTCATATTTCTTCCCCATATCCCCTGTGCTGATAAATTTTAATTACTATGCTTGCGCAGGCCTTAACGATGGAGTGAAGATGAGACCGCCTCCTTCCGGCGAGGGAGGGTCCTCTAAGCCCGATAAGAGTAAGAAGAGGAAAAAGGAGATGGCTGCTAAATCCCCTGTATCAAAGAAGCCCAAGTCTCGTAGGCCTCGAGCTGAGGCCGAGGTCTCCTCTTCAGCTTCCGGAGCGAGTTCCGATGAGGAGGATGGGGATGATGATGACGACGATAACCCTTTAGTACAAAGGAAGAGGTCGGGCCTGGATACCCCCCAAGTGTCTGTGTCGAGGGCTACCGAGTCAGGAACGGCTGATTCGGCTCGAGCCCATGCTTCGGAGGATCTCGAGGAGGGCGCAGATGTCACTCCTCCTTTTTACCTACACCCATGGAAAAGGGTATAAGGGGAGTTTTTCCAATTAAAAGACAATCGAAACGGGATTTATTTATCAAAAGATTCAGAGTCGCCACTTGGGAGATTTATGGTGTCCCAAGTCACCGGTTCAAATCCCGAATCGAGAAAATGGTTGACTCTGTTTAACAGTCCGTGAACTAGAAATCCGGGTAAGTAATTCTGTTAACCCGGGAGAAGGTGTTAGGCATTCCCGAGTTCCGTGGTTCTAGCACGGTCGCTTAACTATTATAATTGGCCTATTTACTTGATTTTAATACATGTTTAGCCTATGGTGCAATTTTAGCCTTAACCGCTTTATTTAATCATTTTTAGAAAGAATCACATCATTTAGAATACGTCTTGAACCACGTCACATAAATGCACCCGTGACTCTCGACATATTTTATCTAACATTGTGATTTGGATTTGGGTCACATAAATGCGCACCCGAGTTTAGGAAGGTAATTTTTAAAAGAGTGCGCCTAAAGCAAGCTACGATGCCCATGAGCTATTAATCTAGACTAGTTTTAATATTATTATAAGGACATGATTTATGGAAGGGATATGGAAATGGAGTAAGTTAATTAATAGAATGATTAGGTTAGCACGGCCCAAGACTTGTAGCCAAACAACTAAAGCCAAATATTCATTAAAAGGTTCAGATCTTTCAATACTAGATCAAAGACCAAATTCTGTATTTCAAAACATTCAAAGATCCAAATCTAAATTCGTTCCTATGTGATCCAGCTTTGTCTGACCAATTAGCCTTTAAGATCAAGCTTACTATTAGCCCATGCAATTCAAAGAACAATTTAACGAGTTGCCTCAATAAAATCACTTGACAGAATAGAGTAACTAATAAACATAGAATCAACCAATTTGAAGGCATTCAAATATTCAAACAGTTTAAATAACAGTTCCGAGCAAATCAACCATAAAAATGAGATTAGAAAAGAAATAACCTCGACGAAAACTCTTCTGTGTATTTATAAAGGACCTTCGAAACAAAGCTTGATACACCGACGAAGCTTGATACACCAACCAAGTCGTTCAACTAGCAAATAGAACCCGATGACAAGTACTGGAAAATACGAGCAAGACCGACAGAACCCCGACTGGAAACACTCGACGCAAGATGCCATCGTGTTACGCACCAAGGGGTTGTTTTGACTGGTTTCGCGCCACTTCGGGGTGATTCAAAGCTGAAGTTTGGAGTGTATTTTCACTGAGATTAATGGTGTCCAATAGAACAAGTTTTCTGGCAAACAAAGCGAAAGGAAATCTGGCCAGCAAATAGAGTCACCAACAACGACATTGTTGCCACGACGAGCGACGTCTTAAGGGAGAATAAAATGAAATAGATCGACAACGAACGTCAACAAAAATGAACGTAGCTTCGGACATGTTTAACGAACGAGCTCCTTGAGAGACTCAAAGCTGCGAAACTTACACAGCGAACTGGGAGGGAACGAAAATGGCGATAACTGTAGCTTCACAAATGATCGCCGGTTGCTGGAGTTTTCCGGTGGGTTAGAGGCTAGCAGCGGCGCGTCTGGAACTCATTAAGGCGACGAGCTGGTGAAGCTCGTTTGTCCGGCGAGTTTCAGGCAGAGATGGGGGTCGTTTGATGATTAACATTAGGGTCGTTGGCATTTTTCCGGCGAGCTGGGGTCATCTGACTCGCTGCTTGAGAGATATGGCTGTGTTGTTGTCGTTAGTCGAAGAAGAAGAACGGGGAAGGGGTCGTTTTTGTGATTAACGTTCAGGGATCATTTTCTTCTCTAAGGCTGCGCAGCCTTTCTCTTTTGTTCCCAGCCTTTTTTCGTTTTTTGTTCTTTTTCGTTCCTTTTTTATTTTATAGTCTAGGTTTTTGGTAGGGTTTTAGGTTAAGGGGTATGGGCCTAGGAATTATGGGCTTGAAAATTATGGGCTAGGTCCAAAATTAGGCCTAAAGATGGGTTGCTCGATCCTAAGCTCTATTCTTTCGCTGCGAACGAGATTAAAATACGGGCCCATTTATTAATTAATCCTGATATTCAAATAATTACTAAAATAAAACTAACCATTAAAACAAACCTATTTTTGGCATTTTCAAATATCATATTAAAATAAAAGTACGATACAATTTTTATATATTTTTTAGGATTTTTTTTAAGATTAAAATGACTACAAAACATTAATGAACCTATTTTTGTGATTTTGTTTTTCTTGTAATAAAATAAAGTAAAAGAGTCAAAATTACTTAAAATATCTATATTATGCCTAAATTAAATATTTACGCGCTAAAATATGAAAAATCTTGGGAAGGGTCAAAAATCACATGTCTACAGCTGCCCCTCTTTGACTGGAAACGTACAGAGTTTTCAAACAAAGAATGACTAGACAGGTTTTTGACCCGACCCTTATTTGGAGAGACTAAAACTAAGAGAAAAGGGGAATGTGACCGAGCCTTGGTATCTGGGCTGCCTACATATCCTTGGCTATAAAGGAATCAGGCCACGTGTAGTTCAGAGATGAGTGAGGTGATGGAGTATACCAAGGTGGAGAGCCAGTCGAGGTGCTGTTCCGTCGAGGTTCCGGTCCGCAGTCCTGCTATTACATCAAAATCAAAACATGAAAAAGACTTGCTAAGCCTATCAACTACGAGTTACAAGATTCTTATCTATAAATCTTCTGAAGCTTGATCTTGAGTCTTGAATAGTTCTTCATGCAGACTTTAGATTTGAACCTTGACGCTTGTTAGCTGCAGGTGCTAGCTCGTTCTTCTACAGCTTTTGGGTCAGGACCAGACATGTAGTGCTTGTGACTTCCACCACGTCTTAAGCAGTTCACATCTTTCATCAACTTCTGCATTTGGATTCACTTCTTGCCTTTCTCTCTTTTCTTTATTGTGACTAACTTCTGTTGATCACCTCGGACTGTTGACTCGCATTCTTGCCGCGAGATTCTTTGGTTGCTAACTTGAATTGCAATCTGAGATGGTTTTCCTTTTTTTC